AAAAAAGTTGGCCTGGGCATGGCCGGTTAGTTCCTGATTTGTAAGTTCTCTTTTACAAAACGTGTAATCCTGATGTATATTATCATCTTTTCAAAGATGATTTAAATATGAAAATAAAAAATTATTGAGAATATTTTTCATTTATGTTTTACCTTACCATGCCGTATTAAAGTTGACGTATTTTCAAATCTCCCTACTATGCGATTCTCACGAACTCAAGAACGAATTATGTGTTCCACAGGACTTCATTGTAAGTATTGCATCAAGAATCTAATGAACTACATTTCTATATATGTAACACTTTATCATGACAGAGCATGGATGCAAAGTATGATTGAAAAAGTTATATATATAAGATTCCCATCTCGAGACTAAAAAGGGCGAAAAATTAATTCAATGCTCTTCAAACTCCCTTTCAAATATCTATGTATATAAATATCTAAAATGTTCAACTTTAGAAGTGGAGTTCAAGAGAGTACGGCTGGCTTACAATTTTTCAGGGGCAAGATCTGGCCAATTGTTGTCAAGAACTCGAAGCAGAAAATTGGGACTGGGCAAAGCTGTCGAAAACTGTTGGACTGCTAATCACCCTACTATGCGATTCTCATGAGTTCAAGTAAGGCTTTCAACTATTCATACTCTTATTTATAAATCTAATAAATTGTAATTGACTGCAATTTACTTTTTTCTTTTTCTTTCTCTCTATCTCTTTCTGAAACTCATTTTAATCGATTTCCTCCTGTTGAAATTCATATAGTTTCGTCTGCGTAGTATATATAATAGAAAGTCCTCCGCATTCTAATAAATAGATGGGAATAAAATAATCGTGCGTCTTGTATGCCCATTGTTGGTAAGTACATATTTAAATATTTATTTTTTTATATAAAGCAATATATGTTATAGTAGTTTTGACCTCCACGTAAGATATTATTATATATTGCTACTTTAAATATTTGAAGCAATACCCAACATATTCTTTACCAGATTATGTAATTGATAATGGGACTTTAAAATATTGTATAAATGCATATTTATTTTTATTTTCGTAGTTTCGATTTTCCAACAATTTCATTACAGGTCCACATGAAATTGCCAAACATATTATTTCTTGGCAGGGTTAGCCAAAAATACGTTCTCAATTTAACTTGTAGTTTTACTTGTGGAGCTGCCTCCAACCCAAGTCGATGCACACTAAAAATAAATTTGCCGGCGCTGCAACCGAACTAATGCAAAATGTTGCGGTCTGTTTCCATACGAATTCTCGTGCAATTTGCAACTTGACGCCGGTTTTGGCAAAGATCCTGCCATGTCCTTGGCGTAACGCACAGCGCAAAATTTCGCCTTCGATTTGCGTGTGGCAGCTGACACATGCAGTTGCCGTCACAGTTGCCACTTGAGCCAGATCCAGGGCCATTGTGTGCACTGGACATTAACCCACTTTCATCTTCGTCAATTTTGTCCTTCTTTTTTTTTTTGCTCACAATTTGTTTACGCTTCCCCTGATGCTGGCAACATTAAAGTATCTACAAGATACAAATAAATTGCAAGCCGTGGGCAGCAGTACGCTGACATCTCTTTGTGGGCCTGCCGCATTAAATGTGTTGAAATCATTCGACGCGTTCTTTTTCGGCTTCTTTGTCTGTTCTTTTTTCTTGCGTCTTCGAGCAGCCACCAAAGTATCTCAATCTGTAAAAAGCATAAGAGACAGTGGTATTAGCAGCGACATCATCGCACTGTGGCACCAACTGCGTTGCTCATTTTATAAAAACATGAACCATTGAAAAATATAAAGACAACTTACTTGGAGTTTGCAAATTATATATAAGCATATATTCGTAAGAATATGACAACCTGAACTATGAATAAAGACCGAATCGAAATCCGAACCGAAGCATATATATTTTTAAACTGTTTTATTCAAAATTTTAAAAAATATGAAAAGCCAAGTTTCTTTTTGCATTTAAGGACATAGAAAGTCACAAATTTGTATGGTCAAAAAGGCATTTCAACCTAAGTATTTGAATAACTGAATAACTCCTTTAATATCACTTTCTCTGCTTAAGAATAAATTTTCATATAAATCTGAAGCGCTTCTCTCTCTGCTACTGATTATTGGAAAAGTAAAGAATAAAGAATTGCCTGAATTCTCCTCTGCCCCGCCTCTTTCTTTCTCTGCAGTCCCCCTTGCTCTCTTGCACATATATTTATAAATTTCTTACAAAACTTATTTTTAGACTTTTGGCAAAATGTTCGAGTTTTGGTTCCACGGTGCAACAGCCGTGCTCTCATTTACTTTCGTTTGGCTGAAATATGCGGCTGGTTTGTTATTTTTGGCCGGCGTCGCTGTCGTTTTATTTACAGCCTTTATTAATATTAATGATGTGCGACGCTCTTGTCTGTTCATGCTCCGCGCTAGTTGCAAAATATGTTTGCATTTTTTGGCATTTCTTTGAATTTGATATTCGGAAGATACGCAAAATCGATTTGGCTAAGGCTGATTAACAGCTTATTGACCAGACCAGAACAGATCCGGCCAGAAACTTTGCCAATGTGCTGGCAAGTGCGAACTTTGGCTTTTAGTTAGCTCCCCGAACAACAACTAGATACTCGTATTTAAATTAGTCCAGGCCTGCCAGTTGCCTGACATTGTTTTGGCCAAATTTGGAACAGACAAGAGCGCTCAGCCCGAACTGCCAACTGCCAACTGCCATGACAGCCAATCAAAAAGCCATCTGCACTTGCCAGTCGCCAGCCGCCAGCCACCAGCCTAATTTGCATGTTGATCCGGCATGTGACATCCCAACATTTACATCACAAATCAGCAGCGGGTCGCCCAACACTTCGCAGCTCATGTAGTCGTTCTTGTTGTTGTTGTTTTCGTATTTTTCATAGTTATTCTTATTGTAGTTGCTGTTGTAGCTGCGGCTGCCGAGCCACTGCGATGCAATGTCAACGTTCATGTTGCATGCAACTTCTGCTGCAAATTTTATTGTTAAAATTTTGCCGGCACAAATGGCACACAGAACCCTTTGGGCCACGGCCATGCGCAACCTCCTTTCATCCCCTCGCTCCCTTACCAATCCGCCACCACAAATCCCGCCCACTCTCGTGCATAGCAGCTGCTGTGGCATTTTGGCCCGCTATGCTGCATGCAAACAGTGGCTGGCATCTGAACTTTGCCTGTTGTTATTCTTGCTGCAACATTGTAATTTGGTTCGGTTGTGCGCATTGGATTTTTATGGCTTGCTGGCCTTTCCATAACACGCTCCCTAGCGGCCAACAATGGCACAAAACGAGACAGTTGTGGATGTGCTTAGTACATCCTGTCCAGCATATAAAGATTTGATCTGACGGCGATTTGAGTGAGCATGGCGAGCATAGGACGATCACGATTACAAGCACAACTCAAGTGAACAGGCTTTCAGCAGGCAATTGGCATGCAAATATGTAGGCTATAAAATGGAAACGGACTTTAAAGCGAGTTGAGCACAATATATTTGGAGCTTAACATTTCACAGGCAATGCAGCTTCAGTACAGTATACAGAATAGAACATGAGACGTTTTTTAAATTTGTACTGTGCTGCTTAATGCCTCACATTCCATTATTGAATATATTGATCTTTCGCTGCAAAATACTAATATACCAAGCTATATTGTATCCAGCTTGAACTTGAGAGCTATTATTATGTTATGCACGAGATCGTACTCCCAACAATGATCTGGTTTCGTCTTCAACCTGTGCGTAAATCAATAGCGAGTGCCTATATCAATAGGTAGTCTCTATAATGATAGACTACCGACCCGTGTTAACCGTCTTGCCTCTAAGCTGATCAGCTTATGCGAGCTGTGGACTACTCGAAGGCGAACTTCCGGTCGCCAAATCAACCTCGCTTAGCTCGGATTAGATCCGACTACTCAACGATTAAACTCTTAACCGCTTCTCTTTTAACCATACACGATCGTGTTGAATGATTAGGTTCTATATAAATTAAATAAAAAACGTTGTTTTCTAAAATTATATTACCTTTTGAAATTTTATAGATAATTTGGGTTCTGCAGAGTAGTTAGACTATAAAGAGGTAAAGTGACGAGAAACGATGTATAAACAAATGTTTGTATTGCTTAATGAAACATGGCAAATGCAAACAAACAAAAATCAATTTTATTTATTTTATTTATTTAAACATATAAATTTTCGCTTGAATTTGCTCGGTATTATTACCATTGTTCACTTGTGTGATGCAATTTTCTAATTTATTTGCTATAGATGGGTTAGTTTTTTTGTTTGCCATTTTGTTATCAAATCAAATAGTTTGCATTGATATTTGTTTTTGTCTTCTTTTTTTTCTGTGCCGTTTGTTGTGTATATTGAAATTGCATTTGGCTATTTGTGCTGTCAACAGACGGGTTGGGGGTAGCGCATGAATAGCCGGCAGATTCACCGTGGTCCCAGACAATGGGACGACGCTGCGGCACACTTATCACAATTGTATTTATTTTTGTCTACATTGGGTGTGTTAATTATCTGGCTTGAATTTAGCGTTTTAAGCTGTCAAGCGGCGACGACAGGACGGCACCTGTCAGGTAATAACAATGGCTAACAAAAAAATGTAAATTAAAATGCGTTAGCTCGATTATGAAATACCCTACAACAAGCCACATTCTCTTAGCACTCAGATATCGCTTTATGTGATGAGATATCAAATGTTGCTCACTGAATTACGACTGTTAAAAGTTTCTCAAAATAGTTAATGGCATATAAATATAAATACTATGCAGTCTCTTTCTTCGACTGCGATACACAAAGCTGCCTAACATACCCTATGTTGTACATATATCCAACAGAGTATTGGAAATGCGCGCCTGCTAATCAGTTGATTTTGTGTGTGTGTGCTGAAAACTTTTTAAACAGTGGTGTGTGTGCTTATGCGTGGGTGTGTGGGTGTGTGGGTGTGTGTTTTCGTGTGTTTTGTGTTATTTGACAAAAAGACGCATTAGCTTTATATTCTTGCCACATTGTTATGTAAATATGACCATAAAAATCCAAAAAGAATATCATGCTTTTTAATGCCTTTTCATTGTTGAGCCCTCGCTGAGAATTTTCGGCCTTTTAATGAGCCAGTCACATATCCATATCATCATCATCGACACCAACAGCCTTGTCCGGGTAGAACTTCTTGAGGACGCGATGCACATCCGAAACCAGATCCTCGTACTGCGGAAACTTATCGCGGCGCGGCGGTCCTCGGGTCAGACCAGACCACAGCTCGTGCTCGGAGGTTTTCGCATTTTGTGAAATGCACACCTCGAAGGCTCCATCCCGGGGCACCTGTTTGCCATTCTTGTTGCGCACCAGCTGGAACTCGCGCTCCGGAATGCGCTGCTGGAAGAAGGTCAAGCACTCGTCGGCCTTCACCTGAAAGATGGGGCATTCCGTGGTGTGTTCGATGAAGAATATGCTGCGATCCTTGGAGAAGTGTTCATCATCGGCCCAATCAACGAGTTTTCCCTTCTTTTTTTTTGGGGCCATTCTGCCAGAATTTAATAAGTAATACAATTTATGACAGCCCTGTCGTTCATTTTACAGTTTTCGAAATGTGTGCTACTTTATATTTATAATATTACAATAACAATATTATTATTTACAATTAAATACTTTGCCGGCGCTGATTGATTGTCATACGGTTAGTTTGTTGCGTCTTATGTTCATTTTGGCACTGCGCGCGATTCATAAATCACTTTCAGAACTTTTCAAGTGTCGTCGCGGCGGAAATTCTTAAAAACCGTTTTCCAAAAACAATTTCAGCCATTAGCCGGGCTATTTTAAAATGCAACAGGCACACTCGCACACACACACACACACACACAGTCACACACACTCGCACACAGTTCGTGGTACATATAGAAGCACATTCATAAAAAACAATGTTGTTAATTTGACAGACAACGCGCACAGCAGCTTTAAAACGCAGGAACAACAAAAACAACACGTTGCACAAACAAATGTTATAATATAAATACATAAATTAAGCAAATATTTATGCACACACAAACAAATAAAAGGCTGCATATGTATTCGGTACACATTATATATACTTATGTATATGCGTACATGCTACATTTCTGTTTCCATATCTTTTCCAACAATGCGATACCCGATGCTTTTGTGCAGCAGCAGGAGGTCATTAAAGTGAGCGCTATAGCTAACAACAAAGGGCCAACAATAATATAAATAGATAATAAAAACTGATCAATTCAACAAAATAGCAAAAGTTCAAGATTAAAATCAACATAAATTTAATTAATCAAAAACTAACAAATGTTACGCCATCAACTAAATCAAGTGAAGATTGAAGGAAATGACAATTAAAGATTATATTCAAAGTGTAGGAATACGCACGCCTCAGAAAGAGGTGTGACTCCGGTATGGAATATGTCCATTAAATAAAGACGCATATATCAAGACTCTCAGCCAGTTTTGAACCAAGCCAATTTTAATTTCTTTTTTATTGTTACCATTGACCAAACCCCTTTACTTTTTGCCTATAAACATTTTACTTCATACGAACGAGCATTCACAAATTGAGTTCGTTTTCGAAAAACTTTTTTGTTTATCAAGATATCTTGACGAAAACAGGCATTTATTAGTTAAACTATGTTGCTTATATATGAGCCACATTTTATCAAGATACTATATCTTATGTCCTATGAAACTATTTCATGGCAAAACCTAGCATTTACGATCGTCACTATACTCACAATATTGATCTTCTTGAAATTGATCCTTCTTGAAAGTTGAAATGAAAAAAACACCACCGTGGGAGCTTTCAGAAAAGGCCGAGATCGACTCATCTTTAAATTTGCGGCGAATACAAGCACACGAATTTAATGTATTTGGATTATAATTGCACTTTAATTTGCAAAGAATATTGTTTTGCCCGCCCACAGTTTATAGTTGAATTTTATGCCATATCCAGATACCGACAGCATTTCGTGTATGCAGCAAGTCCTGGTCAGAACATTTTAATAAAAAGCGAAAATGCAATTTGCAAATGAACAATAACAAAATGAAAACAAGAAAAGTTACGGCACACTGAACAAACCCAAAAAGTACCAATAAAAATAAATAAAATAATGAAGAAAAAAAAACTCCAGTGAACCCTAGAGCAAAGCATGGGGTCAATAGCAAAGCGCTCTCTCACAAACTCATAAATATTAATGCGTATTTTTATTTAATGCGACCGAGTTTTTAAAGCAATATTCAAATGCGCTGGCTGTTGTCTAGTCTGGCAATGTCTGTGTGTGTATTTACCTCTAAATGTGAAGCTAGATAAATGTATTTACACATTCTTATAGGCAAGCATACAGGAGAATTGTGGAAAATAAATATCCAGTGCAAAAATGTTAATAATAATCATATTTAAATGCGGCACATTCATGGCGTCTGCGTCAGCCGCAGTTGTGCGGCATACAAATTTAAATAAATAAACTCATATACACATATCTAAATACCTATACATACATATATATATATATATATCTATATCTCTGTATCTCTGTCTCTAGCTGTATCTCTGTCTGTATCTGTATCTGTATCTACATACGCATTTCCATGTATTTGAGTTATATTTTTAAAAAATCAAAACGACAAATCTCGCGGCGCTTTCGTACGTTGCAGCCCATTTTGAAATACAACAGATGCCGGCGTCTATGCCGACAGCGACGCTGGCGTCGACTGCGCACGTCTGCCAGCTGCAGGCAGCGATCGGCCAGCCTCAGCCAGCTCCTCGCTTAGTTCCACGTCGTGTTTCAATGCGCCCAGCCACGAGCCGAACGCGAAAAACGATTTTGAAATATTTTCCAAATACTTCAGCAACGCGTTCCTTGGAGCTCATTTAATTTATATAATAAGCAACGCTGTGAAAGTGAGTGAATTGCCTAAAGAGAATACCCTGTAAATATATATGAAAGGATTTAAGCAAGCATCTCCTCAATATTCCATTCCCTAACAGCCGCTGCAGCAGCATCAGCAGCCGCCATGCAGGTCTTCGATAACAATATGGTAAGTAAACATATATGTACATATATAGATATTGATATTCGCCATTTCCGTAAAGCGCTTTGTTTACGTAAGCCCAAAGCCAAATTAATTGTGGCCCAAACAGGCAGCCGCACAATGCGAACTGTGTACCTAGCCACACTTAGCCCAGTTAGCTTAACCCAGAAATGCCAATAGACAAATTCGCAAATCCGCAGTCGAAGCATTCATTGCGAACACGCCCATTTTGGCCAAGAAAATGTTTGCCGCTTCGGTCTGTTAACAAACATGCGGAAGTCTTGAGGGCTTCAACGCGCCCCGTAAAATTAATTACAAAAATTCACTTAATGGCCAAGTTCCAACTGGGTCAACAGCTGCCAAGAATCACAAGTGCTATAAAAGTGCATCCCTATATATATATTTATATATATATATTCACTTGGTATGCATATAAAGATTTCATAAAACTTTATTGCTTAAACCTATAATCATTTATGACTGCCCGGAACAAGATTCCAATTATATACATTTTTATATGATTTTTAATTAAGATTTTCTGAGTTTACCAAAGGTTCTTAACTTAGATCGACAAAAATGCATATTTTTTGTTAATTAAAAATATATGAAATTATAATATATTCGTTCAGTAATTTGCGCAGTCGTAAAAAGTTTTCTAATGGACCTTTACGAAATCTTTTTTTTTGGGTATTTTGCCAGAATTTTCCATTTGATTCCATTGAAAGCATTTCTATGCAAAACCCACTCACAAAATGTTGTTTGCGGCATAGCTAAAAATATTTCCAAATCTTTTGCCTATTAATATTGTCCAACCCGGCGACAAACCAAACTGATTTACGGGCCCAAAATTCACAAGTTTTTTTTTATAGACCCTCCCCCCGCCAAAAAAAAAGAAAAGAAAACAGAAACTAAAAATTTTGCTGGCAGCTGAGCCAGCAGATCAAGCATAATAAATAAAAATATATTCTTAAAGCCAAGTAAAAGTTTTGAAATATACGCATAGCCTTTGTAGTAAATGTTGCCACAGAGTTGCCACATATTTCGAAGGTAACAAGAGGGAGCAGAGAGTGAAGAAGAAGCAGCAGGATTTGTGGATCAGATCAGAAACATGCGCCTACCAAAAACAAAAAACAAGGCAAGAAAATGAAAAAAAACTTTGGTTTGGTGACAAGGTCAAACACACAAAAAGAAGAAGAACAAGAGGCTGAACAACGATGACGGAATGACGATGACGCACAGGTTTTGTAAAATATGTTGCCACAGAGTTGCCACACATTTCAAAGGTTAACAGAAGTATAGGGATCGCAGCATTTACCCAGAAACTTGCACCTAACAGAAGGGAATGCAAAAGAGTTACAAATACAAAGAGGAGGGAGAGGGTGAGCAGAAGAAGAGGCAGAACAACGATGACGAAATGACGATGACGCATAGTTTTGTTGGAAATTGTTGCCACAGAGTTGCCACACATTTCGAATGTTGCAGGGAGGAGAGAGCGAAGAAGAAGCAGCAAGATTAGTATATCAGATCAGACACTTGCGCCTACTAAAAGAATGCAAGAGAATTAAAGAAAACTAAAGATTTGTGACAAGGTCAACACACACAAAAAGAAGAAGAATGAGAGGGAGAGGGGGAGAAGACGAAGAGGCAGTACAACGAAGACAATGTGGTCGACGCATTTGGCTCAAGCTCAAAAACAACAACAACTGCAACAACAGAAAGAAGAACGAGAAATCGTCGATTTCCTTTCAATTTATTTCGAGCTCGTGTAAAAATAGCCAGACCATTTTACAATTTGGCCAAAAATCAGCAATAGAATTGGTTTATTTTGGTGCAAATAAATCAATTGGCCGTATTTATGCAGATGCCAGCATTTGATTATTTCACACAGTCGTTGATTTATGGGCGTGGATGCCTTTTAGCCAGGTCTGGGTCGCCCTTTACGGCCACTCTACATGCGCACTTACATTCGACACACACACATATGTATCTGTGTATCTGTTCGAGTGTGTGCCTGTGTGTGTGTGTGTGTGTGTGTGTGTACACATATGTCATGTGTAATTGCTATATGTCAATGTCAATGTGTGGGTGCGGCCATGATAGATGCAAACCGGACGTGCAGTTAGGGCTTTGAGGTTTTTCGTATGCAATTAAAATTTTCTATGCATCTTTCATTTCAATCGAATTCAATTATTCGCATATTGTTTTTATGATTAAGTGTATTTAGTCCGTTTTCATTTGGGCCCAGCACTTCCAAGAATTCCAAAAATGCCTAAATACAACTTTTGTAGGAAAAGCTCTGTTCATAATGGCACTAGAAATAATTGCAAACACTTAAATACATCAAAAGAAATTGAATTAAATTTAGCATGAATTTATGTTCTTTAATTACACAGCGCAAGTAATTCAATGGAACTTAAATGTTTTCCTTGAAAAGCAACATTATTGGGAAATTTATTTGCACGAATAATAAAGTTGTGTCCACGAATTTATTAAATCAATTATTAAAGTTCTATTCGTTGCACAATTATTTAATGACAATGT